GCGAATATTTGCAATCATGACCGAACTAGAAAAACACACGCGGCAGAAAATGGATTTGATCTTTTTGGAAAAACGCTGGCAGGCTTCCGCTCTAAACGAGTGTCTAAATTTAAAAGCGAAACTGAACGAATTTGAACAAAAAATTAAAAATTAACAAATGTAAATTTTATCCGAGAGCGAACTGCACGCGGACGCTGCCCGATGCTGCTTAGCGGTTCGGGTTTGTTACTGTAAATCCCACAGCCGCTGAAAATAACATCAGCCATGGCGCAAGAGAGTGAGATAGAGAGAGTGAGTGTGTAGTGTGTGTCCGAGGTGATCTCAGCTGTTCGCTTCCACTGCACTATACTAATGACACTCTCTTCCGTAGCCAACAAGAACAAGCGCTCCCACACACGACCCCAACCATGAAGCAACTATAAGGAGGGCCCGTCGTCGGCAGCGTTCCTCGGGTTATTTCCCCCCGAGCTTAGTGCTCCAGGCGCACACTCCATTGTCGTTTCACTCACACTTACAGCGAGAGCCCTTTCACTCGCACTTATTGACAGCATTGTTACGTTTCCCTCAAAAAAGCCGACGGGCCCTCCTTTACAGTTGCTTCATGACCCCAACCAAGCCCCAACAACCAGAGATCGTCGGGCGCTCAGAGCAGAGGTCCCATTACTTTGGCGTTCTCTCTCTCTCTCTCGCCCATTTACCCCCACACGAATAGGCTGTCGCCGAGGGAGGGCAGCGGCAGAACACTTGCCGTCGTTTACCCACTCACGCTCACACACATATACACGTGCAAGCGCCAAGCTATTGTCGAACATAAAAAAATACAAAAATCAAATCATAGGTGTTTGTTAATTATACACTGTCCTACCGGGGACAGACGGCTTAACTTCATGGAGATTAAGTTTGGCAAAAACCACTAAAAAGTAATATTAGCCAGCCCCGTTGAGCACACTTGCGTATATTCCCATTTGGTAGAGTGTAGGCCAAAGAGTGAGAGAGAGTGCCATCACCCATCGTGCCATCGTCAATCGAACATTATTGACTTGAGTTCGATATTCGAACAATTAACGGCCTAAGCACTGGAAGGGCATACAACAACGGCTTTTGGTGCACGAATCTCCGCTTTTTTCGTGTCTGCCTCATTGAACAGGAAAACAGCAGCAGCAACAAATAATAGCAGCTCCAGCAAAAACAACAAATCGAAGCATTTATCTCGCTTATTTGCTAATGCTAAATTATCTCCATCTTCTGCTTCTTATTCACGTTCCGTCTTCTTCTTCTTGCGCTGCTGCTGCCCCCGCAAATGTTTGTTGCAATTGTTGTTGCACCTTTACCGTACCCCTCCTTTTTTTCCACGCTTTGTTTATGGTATTTTTTTTTGTTTTTTGCAGGTGGGCGAGCGAATACGAATTTTGTGTTTGTTTGTTTAAAGAAACCCGAATAAATGTTAAATAAATTGAAATGCGATTCATGTTTTCGCATAGTTTCGAAAAGTTTTCCCTTTGGATACCCTTCAATTTCAACAATTTATTGATAGATTTTACACCTACATACATGTACAAACAGAAATCTGTGCAAAAAGTAAACCGCAAAAACATAGCTCTGACACGATGATAATGATATAATAATAATGATGACGCTGAGAATGACTGCGAAGATAATGATGATCTGAGCTCAGCTTCCGGTTTTGCGCATTTGGTATGTATTTATATATATTTTTAGGTTCTATTTGATCTCCGTCTAACTTTATTTATCACACGATTAAGCCGTTTTATGGCTTATAAAATCTCTGGTTGGATGCGTTGCGGTGTAATTGATTTAAGCCAAAAGATCGTCCAAGCTTAACATGTGTCGACTGTCACATAAATTGTCACACACAAATTGACACTTACAGTGACGCTCATCGATTGATAGACAGCTCCCAGACTCTTGTCTGCCATCCCCTTGGACAGAATTCACTGTACTATTTGGACCTCGCTTAGTTTCTGCCATAAAACCATATAAGGGTTCGGAAAGATAGATTAGCTAAAAATTTGACCCAATTCAAGCAAAACAAAAGGCTTTTATGCTAAAATTTGGATCCACGAAAAGCAACCCCCCCACACAAAAGCGACACAAACGCACACCTATTCGGAAAATTAGTGTCCGCGACCAGACGCCCCAACAATCGGACCTCCAAGCGTGACAATGGAAGTGTGAATATATCAATCGCTATAGAGAGAGGGCATGAGTACCGTCTATAAGCAGCTTAAAGCCGGAGAGCCAAAGCCCAAAGCGGGGGATTACTCTCCGAAGAGTTTGTATTTGCTTTTGGGCATTTTTCTAATGGCTCGTGACTGTGAGTGCACATTCCGGTGGGACATTGGGTGTGGAATATTAATAGCATGAATAATGGATGCTACTCATCTTTATATATACGTTTTTATACCAGGTACTTGAAGAGTAAATAGGGTATATTGTATTTGTGGGAAATAACGGTTGTATGAAACGCACAGAAGGAAACATTTCCGACCCCATAAAGTATATATATTCTTGATCAGCATCAATAGCCGAGTCGATTGAGCCATGTCGTCTGTCCGTCCGTCCGTCCGTCTTGTTGAGCGCCTGGATCTCAGAGACCATAAGAGCTAGAGCCACCAAATTTTGCATCCAGACTTCTGTATGCTCACACTGAAACCAGTGTATTTCAAAAATGAGCCACGCCCCCTTCCGCCCCCGCAAAAGGGTGAACGCTTGGGAGGCTTTTTACAATTTTGAAGATACAAGAGCGTGCTAAAGGAGCGTGTTGGTGTGAGTAGTGTTGTTGATGTAGATGACAGATGAAGAAAAAATTGAAAATTTGACAAAACACCGCTAAGGTGCAGATGTAGTCCTGAGTGCCGGGTATAAAAGTTGTGACCCGTAAAAAGCGTCGCACACGTCCCTTCTCGTTTTTGTTACTTTTAGAGAACATAATTAAATGACATACGGAAATCCACTTTTGGATATATTCCATAATTGAGCTCACTGCTCAACACGTGTCGCGTGTTATGCAGCAGCGCCACTCGGTCTGGTACGCATGGCAAACACGAACTCTTCTTAAGTTTCCCTATATCTGTTTCCCATCGATTTCTTAAGCATTGACTATTGATCGCTGACTTTAGACGCCTCTTTTTTCGGGCACAATGTCAGAGACCCATAGAGGAGAGGCAATAATCGAGTGCTGAAAGAAGCCACTTAAATGTCAAACTATTGACATTGGCCCATTGCAATGGGCAGTGGATTCTCTTGCGTTTTGTTATGGTTATTATGATTATAAGCCAAAAGCTGTCTGCACTCTTGTACAATATATTTTTAGGTGTCTTGGCTAATTGAATTTGAACCATACCAGGGGGGAGCTCTTTCAAGAATCTCCAAGAAAAACTATAAAAGCCTGAGACGCCAGTGCGGACGTTGCAGGTTTCCAATGACCCATCGCCGCGAATAGTCCGCTCCAGTGAAATTTTCAGAAACAAATTAGGGAGTCCTTTAATGTAAAAAGTGTTTGAAAAATATCCAACGGAATTTGCAACCTTTTTATGTAGAAAGAGTGTGCTATATAGGCGGGATATAGTGACACACAACTGGGAAAAATCAAATCAAAATGGATAGGTAGGAAGACATCGTAGATCGTAGATGATGGAATGATATCTATACCATGAGTTGTTCTGTTGCAGCTTTGCAGCAGTAGCCACACAACTGGGGCCGCATTTTGCAGCCCTTTCCAATGGATCGGTGGTGGATAAGGTCACACCCGATATGGCGCATCTGATCAGCCCGTACTGGAACCAGTTCCCCGCCATGGACCCCATCTGGGCAAAGATCCTCACGGCCTACATGATCATAATTGGAATGATTTCCTGGTGCGGAAATGGCGTGGTGATCTACATCTTTGCCACCACAAAATCACTGCGCACTCCTGCAAACCTCCTGGTCATCAATTTGGCCATCTCCGACTTTGGCATCATGATTACTAACACCCCGATGATGGGCATCAATTTGTACTTTGAGACCTGGGTCCTCGGGCCCATGATGTGCGACATTTATGCGGGCCTGGGCTCCGCCTTTGGCTGCAGCTCCATTTGGTCCATGTGCATGATCTCCCTGGATCGTTATCAAGTCATTGTCAAGGGCATGGCCGGTCGGCCGATGACCATCCCTCTGGCGTTGGGCAAGATTGCCTACATCTGGTTCATGTCGAGCATTTGGTGCCTGGCCCCCGTCTTCGGCTGGAGCAGGTGTGCAGAGAAAAAACATCTTCGTTTGGTTCTTTAAGCAATATCCTCTCCTCTATCACTTTATCCAGGTATGTGCCGGAGGGTAATTTGACATCGTGCGGCATTGACTACTTGGAGCGCGACTGGAATCCACGCTCATACCTGATCTTCTACTCGATCTTTGTCTACTATATCCCGCTCTTCCTTATCTGCTATTCCTATTGGTTCATCATTGCTGTAAGTACACAACGCCTATATCCTCCCCTATATCCTCCAATGACATCCGTTCTCTCCTTCAGGCCGTTTCCGCTCACGAGAAGGCCATGCGGGAGCAGGCCAAGAAAATGAATGTCAAGTCGCTGCGTTCCTCCGAGGATGCCGACAAGAGCGCCGAGGGCAAGCTGGCCAAAGTGGCTCTGGTCACCATTTCGCTGTGGTTCATGGCGTGGACTCCTTACCTAGTCATCAACTGCATGGGACTGTTCAAATTTGAGGGTCTCACTCCACTAAACACCATCTGGGGTGCCTGCTTTGCCAAGTCGGCGGCCTGCTACAATCCCATTGTCTATGGCATTAGGTGTGTATAACCTATAAACCTATAATCATGATATACAATCCTGATCCTATATCTCTTTTATAGCCATCCCAAGTATCGCTTGGCTTTGAAGGAAAAGTGCCCTTGCTGTGTCTTCGGCAAGGTCGACGATGGCAAATCGAGCGATGCCCAATCGCAGGCCACCGCCAGCGAAGCCGAATCCAAGGCATAAGCAAAAACCTTTATCTTACAACAGCAACAACAACAGCAACAAAAGCAACAACTTACAACAACAACAACAAGAACAACTGCAGCAACAGAACGAAACGCTTTCGAATAACAACATCAAACAAAGGGGGAAACAACAACAATCACTCCGCCATAAAAAAATGTGTAAATTTCTTGCCTCTAAACAACATCTAAAAGCAACAAATGTTTATAAAAAATCAAATTATTAACAAACAATTACTGCAATGTCACTAAAGACGAAACCAACAAAAAACCTTAAACCAAAAAAATAAATGCAAACGAACTAGAAAAGTTATCAGAGGGGAAAAGTGTTCGAGTTTTCTGGCTAAATATTAACCCAACCCAACCAACCAAAATTTACATTTCTTGTACCCTTCCTTTCCTTCTACCTTTCAGGAGCTTGTAATAAAACCTCTTAATCGTGTTACATTTTAATTTTTGTTATTGTTTTAAATTAAGGCACTTAAATTCCATTTTGTTGTTTGATAAATTAACATGCATGTGAGGGTGGGTTGGGGGCAGGGAAAGGCACAAAAGCAGGGGAGGACACCCTGAGGACATTCCCCAAAAAAGAGAGAGAGAGAAGAATGTGTGCCATTAAGGTGACTGCTGCATACCCTGTAAATGGGGGGCATTCAAACAGCTGTTAGTAGCACATGAGACATACAAATTAACAATTAATTAAGGCATTGCTTTAGTTCGGCGGCGGCGACGACGGGCTGATCCGGTTCACTCGCTGCAGGAATCGTATTCGCTTTCGCTCTTTTTGATCTTCGTCTTGATGCCGCCTGTGGTGCCCGGTGTGCATGGTGTCGTGGTTGTGGGCGATGCCAGGGTATTGTTGTTCAGGGAGGAGCCACCACTACCACCACCAATGGGCTTGTGGTAGGTGCTGGGCGGACTATCCAGACAATCGGATGAAGTGCAGACACGCTCCTGAATGATGAGCTTCCACAAACGCACCTCAATGCCAACGCTGTAAGAGGATTTACATTTAGAGAAGGTCAACGATGAGGTATTCGTGGAATACCCACCGCAATCCCAAACGCATGAGATCGAGCTTTTCCATGTTGTAGATGAAATCCTCAAAGGTAAAGCCCTCATTCAGTATGAGTGTCTTTGAGAACTCATCAATGTCCTGTTGCGTTAGCCACTGCTCCAACTGCTCGTCTATCTCGTGCAGACCAAAGTTGTGCTTGTTTAGCTGCCGTCTGGCATTGCCAGACACTGCTGGACGTGCGCTGCCTGCTCCCCCGCCCACTGCCGCTGCACTGGGACTCATTCTATGGCACTTTTTGTTGAATCCATTGATGGTGCGTCTACGGAAGGAGAGTCTTTAATTAGATATACATTAAAAAGTGTTCCGAAATTCCCCACCTTAATCTCTTCCTGCCACCCATGTAGATATGGGCTAGCTCCTGGCTTATGTTGTGCAATGCCCGCATGTTCTGGCGCTCTTGCTCCATCATCTGGCGCTGCAGCTTGAGCTGATTCTCACGAATGTCGCGCAGTATGCGCACAGACTCCACAGAGCTGTGGAGTGCCCCATCGTAGCCAGTGTCCGAGGGCAGCACGCCGCCAGAACTGCTCAAGGGTAGGACCTTCTCCAGGCACTGCTGCCTCTCCTGACTGTCCGAGGAGCCCGCATGCTGCAGCGGTGACGTCTGCACGCTCTCATCATCATTCCCAGAGAGATCCTTGTCCGCCAGATTGGCCCCCAGCTCCGGCGAGAAGATGGTGACGGCTGCCTGCACGGCGCGCTTCACGAGATTATCCAAGGCGAACATCCAATGCGGCTTGATGCAGTGATACCTCAGGACACAGACGACTGCATCCTGAAAGGAGTACAGCGCCAAATGGAGATGATCCAAGGCCACTGCATCGTTGTTTAGCTTCTGCTTCAGCTCATTGATCGTGGCCTCCAAATGCTTCTCATTCTCGTTCATAATGTAGTCCCTCAATCCGCGTATCAGAACCTCAAGATCGCTCTTCCGTATGGCAATCGAATTCTGATCTGCATCGATCTTCTTAAGCCAAATATCGCAGATCTTGGACTCATCCAAAGCGAGGACTTTCGATAGAGTGGTGCGTCGCTGCGAGTCTTTTTTCAGCCTATAAAAACCATCCGTTTCGCTAGTCTCACTGATGCTAGTGCGCAGCGATGGCGTTGAGGGTTCAATCTCGGGAGAGAGCAGGAATCCAGAAGAGTTGCGGCGCTCCAGCAGGCTGGGCAGCTCATCAATATCCACAGAAGATGTGTGAGTAACGCTAAAAGGGAGCAACATTAGTTTTGCTGTGAGTGGGACTTGGGGGGCAGAACTTACTCCAACTCTGGTGTGGTGGGCGTATTGCAGGTAGTATTGTAGGTCAATGGAGGCGTCGTCTTGTGTATCAGGCGATCCGCTGGCACCGAAATGCTTCTGCCAAAGTCGGTATTAATGGGTAACCCAGGTCTCGGTTTTCGTGGTTTGCTGTAGGTATCAAAAGAGAATGTTAAATCAGTGTCTGTATCAATGGGTTATCCAATAAACTTACTCAGCCAGAAACGGATCCTCCAGCAGCTGCGAGGCCGATGGTCTGTCCAACACGCTGATCGCAAAGCAACGCAGTATAAAATTCTTGGCATTCGTGGACAGCTCCACGGGTATATTTGGATGCTTCTTGTAGTATCCCACTTTGAACATGGCCGCCTGGGCGCAACCCAACTCAATAAAGGGCGGTTTGCCGGTGGCCATTTCTACGTTTGTGCAGCCAAAGGACCAGATATCTGCCGCTGGGCCATAGCCACGTACACCTTGGTCAATCACCTCGGGCGCCATGTATTGGAGGGTGCCAGTAAAGGTCTCTGTCATGGGATTGATGCGCGCCAGCCGCTTGGAGGTGCCAAAATCGGAGATCTTGACGACCCCGCTGTACGTGTTCACCAGCACATTGTCGCCCTTGATGTCGCGATGGACAATATCCTGCTCGTGCAGGTACTTGAGTCCCTCCAGTATCTGCTTGGAGTAGAAGGCCATGGTGGACTCGTTGTCCTTGAGCGGACCCCATTTGGTCTCGAGCAAGTCGGAGAGTGAGCCGCCCGGCACCTGCTCCATGAAGATCTTGAAGAAACCATCCTCCGAGCGTGAGCCCAAATACTGTACGATATTGCGATGCCGCAGCTGCGAGTGCAGTTTGATCTCCTCGTGCAGTGGCTGCACATCCTGTGAGTTCTTCTCCGGCACCTCCTTGATGGCAATTCGCACTTGCGTTTGCTTATCCCTGGCGGCATACACCGTGCCGTAGGTGCCCTTGCCCAGGACCATCTTGCGATTCTGCTCATCATAATCGTATTCGTACTGGAAGAAGGTAATCGGTAATCGATTATAATAGATCCTTAAATTATGTAACGGACAAAGTCTTCCATTTATCGAAAATTATCGATCCTTTATCGATGACATTTAAACACTCAAACACCCAAGACTCACCTCTATTTGTGCATCATCATTGCTGAGATTAACAAACACCTCCTGATCGGCCGTCATTTCCAGTATCAAATCGTAAAACTTTTGCCGGCACTCGGGCGACGGAAAGTAGATTTGAAAGTCATCCGAGTTGTGATGGACATAAAGATACGCGCAGCGATCGTCGCGCTTGTACAGGCTCACAGATTTGATTTTCGAGGCAACAAAGAGGAAGTCGTGGAGCTTCTTGCAGGTGTTTTTGGAGTGGGCCAGACAGATGTTGACAATCTGAATGGATTTCTCATCCGCATCCATATTGATGGTCACATAGCTGGGCATGTAGATCTTCTGTGGTTCGAGTATCTATTAGAGGGAAAGATGTTATCAAAGATCATGGGAGAATGCTCTTTGGACACTAACCAATATGGGAAATCGTATGCTGTTCTTAATCTCCTCAGTGTTTGTGGCCTCCAGGAAGAAATCCATCCAGAATTGAAAGACCTGCTCTTCGATGGTGGGCATGCGATCCTCGGGCTTCTTGCGGAACCTGTGGATCAGCGAAATGTTGCCAATAGTTGACTTTAGATACCAGTTCGGGGGCTTCAGCTTGAACATGCACTCGGCCGCCTGAATGGCCTTCGCATAGTCCTCGGCCAGCACGGATATCTCAAAGAATGTGGCCACATCCCAGTATTCACTGAGCGTCGAAAGGCTGCCCTTCTTCCCGATAAGATTGTTCAGGGTCATGCCAATGTGTTGCAGCTCCTCCGTGTTGCTGAATTCCTTGCCCTCGATGACCAGCAGGGTGGCCAGATTGATGCCCGCGTACTCGTTCGGCTGCACTTCAAAGCTCTGGCGGTACCATTTAATGGCATGCGCCAGGCTGGTGGCGTCCGTGTAGTCCGACTCCACGAATATGTCCTTGTAGATGCGTCCGCATAGGCACAGCATGTCCGGGAAGTGGTTCTCCTTTTTCTCGAGCGCTTTCAGTGATGACTCCAGGGCCTTCTCTCTGTCTCCCTTTCGATTTCTGCGATTCAGGGCAAAGGCATAGAGGAAACTCATATTTCCCGCCTCCACAAACTTGCGGGTGTTTGGTATATTTTTCAGATCATTGACCAGCCGCACCATGGCATCGTAGTCCTGCACATCCCGCAGCGAGCACATAAAACTGTGCACCACTTCGCCGGAGAGCACATGCGGATCGTCCAGACGCTTGCGCATCTCATGGAGTATGGTCTGCAGTTTGGCCCCATTCGTGGCGTACGTATCCCTGGCTGTGCGCATATCACTCAGAAATTTCTCCCGCATGTGTGCTCTAAAAAACAGGGGATTTCCGTTAGCAGCAGGCACCCGAGATTAAGTTGGATTTCTACTTACTTTGATTGTATTTCCACATCTTGAAGCTTGCGACGCAGACGCCACTGCAGTGTGCCCACGCGACCGTCTCCGGGTTGATCTTTGCTGTTGGGTTGATTGGTCAAAAGGCAGCTATTGGTCTCTGCATTCAGTTTGTAGCTGAGAAACAAGTAATTGCCACAAGAGACCTGAGAGAGACGAGAGAGAGGTGTACACAATTTAATGACCGCCAGTGTAGGTGTGCTGCCAGTGTTGGGTGTTTGCGTGGGCGAGCGATTAAAAATAACAATAATACGAGCTATATATTCACCGGAAATAGAAAAACAACAAACAATCGTCAAGAAACATGACTTGTTGGCTGCCGTTTCAAACACACGCACAGATATTGCTCAACATTTATCTTATCGGAAATGCCGCCCGTTGCATCATTCGCAATAAGATGTTTACGGCTGGGCGGACGCACACATAGGGCACAACACCTCTGCCAACCCCAAACCCGAGATAATACACACCTTAAGGCTGAGAGTCTGTTTGGATTCCACATCGTTGTAGATTAAGATGATTTCCTTCATTCCAAAACTCTCCCGCACCCCGTAGTGATACGAGAGCGGTCGCTGCTGGGCCAAAACACTCAAATCTATAACCGCAACATCGGCATTGTAGAATGTTTCCATCACATTCGTCTCGCCGAAGTCCAATTTCTCAAACTGCAACAAAATGTTGTTTCAGTGTATTTTGTAAGGAATTTCCAATTGAACTCCCACCTGCACACGCTGAAAGTTAGCACCGGCAGCCTGTACTGCCCTTTTGACCTCCTCCAGGGCACAGATGCGATCTTCCAGATGATCGCCCACGACGGTATCAATTACACAAACAACGTCCATGGCTGCGGGCTATGCTATTCCTGGCACCGACCGATGGCTGGACTGGGACGGATGGATGAATGGACGGGGACAATTGGGGTGTTCGTAACGTACTTTCTGTTGGCCGAAATCGCGCACTTCAATTGTAAACAGCTTCATTACCACGTACTTGTGGCCATAGCATTGTGTTAATTGCCGTGCAACGAAAAATTAACAATAAATAAGGAAATTTGTAGAAATATGCTCGAGAGAACGCGCAGTAGATGCAATCAATCGAAACAGACAACCGAATATGTCGATAGCGCCATTATCGATAGCGCCGCCAAGAAAAATACCAAAACAAACCAAAAATACCACCAAAGTATGATTTATATAAAATTCACATTTGAAAACATTTTAATTGATTAAAAATCGCTCTCGTTTCACTTAACTGGCGTACTCCTTGAGTATGGAGCCCGCAATAACGAGACGCTGAATCTCAGAGGTGCCCTCATAGATCTCCGTGATGCGAGCATCGCGATAATGGCGTTCCGCTGGCATATCAGAGACATATCCCATGCCTCCAAGGATTTGAATGCATTGGTGGGAGCACAGGGTCGCAGCCTCGGAGGCTGCCAATTTGGCCATGGCCGCCTCCTTGGTGTAGGCCAGCTTGTTGTCCTTCAGCCAGGCGGCACGCCAGGTCAAGAGTCGCGCCGATTCCATAGCCAGCGACATGTCAGCAATCTTCTGCTGGATGGACTGCAGCTTGGAAATGGGTTTGCCAAAGGCCTGCCGCTTCTGGGCGTAGTCCACAGCCAACTCCAGGGCAGCCTGTCCAATACCCAGTGCCTGGCCGGCAATGCCAATGCGTCCTGCATCCAGTGTTTGCATCGCAATCTTGAAACCAAATCCCGGCTCTCCCAGCATGCTGTCCTTGGGGATTTCGCAGTCTTCGAATATCAGTTGGCACGTGGACGATCCTCGGATGCCCAGTTTGTCCTCCTTCTTGCCCAGCGAAAAGCCCTTCAGTCCTTTGGGTACAATAAAGGCGGAGATGCCCTTGTGCTTCAGCTGTTTGTTTGTCGTGGCAAATACGACTGCTGCTTCCGCCTCAAAACCATTGGTTATCCACGCCTTGGTGCCGTTCAGGACATAGTGATCGCCCTTTTCCGTAGCTATGGTGGAGGCAGCACCGGCATCCGAGCCATTGCCCGGCTCCGACAGAGCAAAGCATCCCACACGTTCGCCCGTCGTGTATGGCGTGATGAAAGCATCCTTCTGGGCGGCATTGCCAAAGCCCATCAGTGGACCCAGATACAGAGAATTATTGACCGACATTATGACACCCGCTGAGGCACAGCCGCGTGAGATCTCCTCCATTGCTATCGCGTACGCCAGATAATCCAATCCAGTGCCACCTGTTGAGCCATACACAACCTGTAGCTTGTTTAAGGAGCGAGCTGTTATCTCAGTTATTACCTAGCTCCTCCGGAATGGCCACAGCCATGACGCCGAGCTCCCCCATCTGCTTGATCTGCTGCGCCGGGTAGAGATGATCTCGATCGAATTTTGCTGCATTTGGACTAAGTTCGGCGTTGGCAAAGTCTCGACAGGTATTCTGCAGCATCTGATGGGTATCGGGGAGTGCGGCAATAGAGGCGATCTGCCGCATCGACACCGATCTGCGGGCTGAGAGCGAATTATCAGTAAAGATCTTAAAAAATGCATTACATCCGATCGAGATCAAAGTCCATGGGGAATTTGACTTACCAATGTTAAGGGAGCGGCTGAAAACGGACTGCATGTTGGCTGTTGGCTATTTCTAACTTTTTGTCTTTATAAAATCTGGCAAAAAAAACGTATAAAAACGACTTAATAAACTTGTTAATTTCATAAAATTAAAAATAATTAGTGTGCCCAAAGGTGAAGCAACAGGTTGTTGTTTGCCGAGTTTTTTGGTATATACTGAATAAACGCGTACTATTTTCCAGTAACACATTTTCCTGGTAACACAAATCTGCATGTGATACCTGATATCAATTTTATTTTGTTATTTATTTAAAAAACCCATAATAAAATCGGCAGAAGCGCCATCATGAGCGAGGAGCAATTCCTCGAAATAGAGGCACTCGAGTGTGCGTACGACGATGAGGTGGAGAGTAAGTATACAGCAACAGGCAATGAGAAAACAATTTATATTATTTCTGCTTGTTGCAGCATACATCGACATCGAGCCAAAGGAGCCAGAAGCAGATGATCAATCGGACAAGAAAACGAAACGACTTCATTGCCTGATTGAAGGCTGCAACTATATGACGGACAGGAGACGAGACCTTCGTCGTCACCGGCGTTCAAAGAAACACATCCATGCCATGGCGGTTTTATCCGATTCCGATTCGGATTTTGAGAGGCCTCTGTACAACTGCGTCCTCTGTTCGTATACAACAGCGAAGAAGTTCTGCTATGATCGGCACAACAAGTCTACGAAACATTGCCGTAGACTGGAAGCACTGAGCGATCCACTAAAAAAAAAGAAAGTGCCGCTGCGCCGTGATTTAGGATCGACTTCATCACAGCCATCCGATGGCAACATATACACCTGTGCTCCCTGCGAATACACAACACTCCGCAAGGAGTCTTTTCTGTTGCACAAGACGAAGGATAACCATCTGCATGTTATGGACGTCTTGGGGCGGAATAACCAAGTCATCACCTCAGGACCCATGGCGAATAGTGAAGGAGTAGTATTCACCCCGCCAGAATCTGAGGATGAGGTGGACAGCTACGATCGTGGAATATTTTACTGCGACCTTTGTGATTACAGCACCAACATTCGAAGCAGCTTTCAATGCCACAAGAAGTCGAGAAAGCACCGTGCCAGAGCTCAGGAAGCCGCGGAACTGGAAAATAAGTCTGAATGCTTGCCGGGTGCAGATGCAGACAGTACTCAGGCAGTAGAAATTATCTTATCCTGCGTCCCCGATCCGGAGCAGGGGCATGAACATCAGTTTGATGATACCATAGAATACGAGCCTGAGGTACAAGAGGAAGTGGTGGTGGAGCATGAAAACGACTTCCAGGAGATAATTTATTTGCCTGAAGAGGAAACGGGGGAGGAGCAACACTACTTCATAGTGTTAGGCAACGACTAGCAGAGAGCTGGCACTTTACACAGCACTGTTTCTGCGCAGATTTATCGCGCACGCACTGGGAAACTTTGTTTAACGTTTTTTATGTTTTTCTCTGCACTTAACTTGTAAATTAAGCACACAAAAAACAAATATAGCATTGAATTAAGTTTAAACAGTACCCAACAGCACCAGCCCCTATATCTTGAGTGACTTGCACACCGTGAACGACATTGCAATAGGAATCCTATTTTGTTGTCTTGTCTTATTGATTTGCCGTCAATTTTGAAGTTCTTGCTATTTGTTGCCCACCTTAATTTTTTGTTTGCGTTTTGTTTTCTTTGGAATAAATCGTGTTGCTTCCCGCCGAGGCGAGCGAGTGGTAAGTGCATACTCTATGTTCAACAAATTGAAACATTAAGAGGCTGCGAAAAGTGTTGTATGCATGAGTTTTGTGTGTGTGTGTGTTTGCAGGAGCATCTGTAGCAACAATAAACAGTTACATGTTGGTGCATGTTGAGAGATTTGCTCTCTCCACTCAGAACGTGTTCAGTGCATGTTCACTTGATCTGATCCAACATGTGATAGCGAGACGGCAAGTCAACAAATGTCGAAATCTGATTCAGTGAGACTGCTTTACCTTCCTATTACTGTACCTTGTGCCTGCTCTCTGGCTCTCTCTCTCTCTCTCTCTCTTGGCTGGACACGCTCTCATCTTGTACGATCGTCCGCACGATTGATAAGACAGGCACGAACCTCTCGCGACTTGCGACGCGGCCCCAAACGCCAGTCGGTGCATTCCCCCCTTTTTGACTATAAAAGCATTGGCCTGACTGGCCACGAGCCAAGTTTTTGCCGTTAGCCGTGCGAGCGAGAAGCTGCTGCCGCCGCAACATCCAAGTGTCAATTCTCTGTGAGTGCCTGCCGACCCATCAATGGGATTTTCCTGTTAACTAAACAAATTCTAAAACGGATATACACGTAATATTTATGTGGAAATTAAGTGATTTGAAGTCAGTGACGGATCAATGGAATAATTTTTGGGAATGTGTGTGCCACAGATCGTAAAATCTATCAAAACGAGTACATTTTATCGCCTGACCCCAAAACAAACCAAAAAAACAATGTTAATCTACTAATAGTCCAAATAATCATCAGAAAAAAATTACTATCAAGTCATCATTAGTCAACAATTTGAAGATTGAAGAAATCTGTTGTCACAGATTGGGCATGGAAATATGCCATTCCAGATAGGAATACCCATCGATATGGGTCAAATTTCGGGGAATGCAAAGTGAAATTAATAATAATTTTGTATTCCATTTCATAGCGACACATATTAAAGAAGAGATATTGTATCCGCCGACCCGACCAATGACCAGGAAGTGAAAGAAATTATCCAAACGACCACCAAACCAGACCAACAAAATGCAATCAATGAAAGCCGACGAACTGCCGGAGAATCCGCGCGAGACCTCAAATATCTTTTCATCATTGATGTTCTGGTGAGTAAATTAAATATATTAGTATCTAAACTTAGTTATTAATTCTTTTTGATGTCCTTTTAGCTTTGCCATGCCCACATTTTTCAAGGGGCGCAAGAAAACTCTGGATGAAAACGATCTCTATCGAGCTTTGAAGGAACACAAATCGGGTGAGTCTTTCCAACTAATTGAGTCATTTGTTACGATATATAATCCCCAAAAATCAAAAGAGAGAATTGGTTGAATTGATGGAGTGTGCCTTGCATAATAAATGGGCATATTTTTGTATAATTTATGGCAATTTATAATGATGGAAAGCTTTCACAGGGCCATCCATCCATAATCTCAATCTTTTTTTTAATTTAATTAGGAAATGAAAAGTTGATAGGGCTTTGACGAAATGAAGAAGGAGAAGAGAAAATTGTTATCCGCACGTAAGCGAGATTATAATGCACGTGACGTCATGTGGCAGCCAGGGACTGTCAATAGATGGGGCTAGTATGATCCCAATAAAAATAAGAGAGAATTTTCACCTTAGAAAACGAGACTTCTGAACTTAGATCCAAAGACATATCGAAGTTCAATGTTCATTTGGTATAATTTTCAATGATCTTTGTCCCTCATGCTTTGGAGAGCTATGTAATCCCCAGTGCCATGAAGTGGATCGACACACTTCGTTGGTT